AGAGCAGATCCCTGAAGAAGACCCATGCTCTGCAGTGCAGGGGGCAGCTGAACAGCCTTGAGCAGTGATAAATGAGTCACAACAGTGACTCTCTCTGCATTCACCCCTCGATGGCTGCTAAAGAGTCCTGCTGAACACCAGCCTTCCTCCAGATCACCTATCCCCACACCTTCTGTTCTGTTTCGCCTGTGAGATGGTACACTCCTTGTCAGGACTTCTGGATTTATCTATGGCCATCTCAATCTAAGCATCAAAAGCAATCTGGATTTGGAAACAGAACTGGAGATTGGTGAGGTGAGTGGTTACTCAAATAGTCTTTACTTCCCTGATTGAATTCTGAAGGACAGATTTACCAGTACATAAGCAGTCACTCTTGTCCCACTGTCTCATAGTCCATTAAGAGCAACAGCACCTTTCATGTGATTGGACTGGATTGAGAAAGATGCTCCCATCAACAGCTTTCCCCTCCACCATTCTTCCTCAGTTGTCTTCATAAACAGAGAAGGAAGGAAGATTCAAAATGGTAACAGCACTTGAGGGATAGAGGCAGGAGTTTCAAGAGTTCAGGGTCATCCTCAGCTACACAGACTTTAAGGCCAGTCTGGGCTTCATGAAGACCCTGTCTCAAAGTAGCAAAAGTGGGTGATAAAGCCGAAGGTCAGAATAACTCTTCAAGTCTTAAAAATGGGATTTTCCTGAGAAGCTACAGTGGAAAGAAAAAACCATGAAAAAGCAAAGGACATGGACTGAGCTTGATCTTCCTGGTGGGAAGTAGTGAAGTTGGGGTAAGGTTGTCTCTGCCAGAGAGACTGCATGGATGACAGAGGCACTTTCTTCTGGCAAAGACATCCTGGCTAGCTAGCATCCATATCTTTTTTTGCACTGAAAGAAATTGAGAAATACGTAGGAGAAAGAAAAAAAAGACACACAAACCATATGGGATTCTCTATTTTTTCCCTCACACCATCTGGTTTAGGATCTAAGTACAGGAGGGCAACTGCATTGATTTTGGAACCAACAAATGCTCTCAGCTCCTGGGGAGGCGATAACATAGCTGGGTCAGATCCTCTCCCTCTGCGACCTGATCCATGATCTTCACACTGTCCACTGTAAAGTCTCCAGGTTGCTCCCAGACACAAATGGTCCCCACTTTGGGGACCTCAAGAAGCATCTCTTTGTCAAGGATTTCAGTGATTGTGGTGATGCAAGCTAACTGTGCATGCAAAAGTTGAAACGATAGAGACCTTTTCAGGATCTGGGAAGATAATTTTTTAAAATTGAAAGTTTAAACCAAGCTCATTGATTTTTGTCTCTCTCCAGGCAAGAACCAGTAGCTCATGGAATTCTTCCCTATAATACTGCCAGCAACCTAATACCACAAAGCGTTCAGAATCTCTTATTACATAATTCCAGAATCCCCAAACTCCTGAAAATTTAATTGTAACATTGGGCTTTCTTTGGCGGGGGGCGGGGGGAGTTACCTGGCAGCAAAACCTGTGCTGGCCTGAGCTGCCTTGATGCTGAACCTTGGGCTAAATGGCCAGCAGGGCTTCATGCTGCAGACCTAGACTCTCTAGAATGAGTGTAGTGCCAATCACACCTTCCATGCAGGATGGTGCAGCACCCCCTTCAAAAACCCAGGTTCCTCAGGCCCTAACAAACAGACTTCAGCAAAGTCCCTGCAGCTTTACTGTTTTCTTCTCAGCTGCTACTGCTGCTGCTGCTTACCAGGCCCACATTCTGAGGTTTGACCATCGGGTGAAAAGTACACGCATCTTACTCCAATGCTCTTTCAGGAACCTGCTTACCATCTGAAGAAAAATGTCCAGAGCGTGGACAGAGGCATTTTTTTCTCTAGGAAGATAACAGTGTGTATTCTTTACCACACAGCTTCATGTCTGCCATGGAGGATTGACTGAACGCTCTTTCTAGATTTCCTGCTGCTCTGGTATTTCTCTCCCTCCTCCTCCTCCTCCTCCTCCTCCTCCTCCTCCTCCTCCTCCTCCTCCTCCTCCTCCTCCTCCTCCTCCTCCTCCTCCTCCTCCTCCTCCTCCTCCTCCTCCCCCCTCCTCCTCCATGTGTGTGTGTGTGTGTGTGTGTGTGTACCATAGCATACATGTGGAGGTCAGAGGACAACCTGGGACAGTTTTCTACTTCCACCATATGGGTCCCAGGGATTGAACTCAGGTTATCAGGCTTGCCAGCAAGTGTTCTTATCTGCTGAGCAATTTTGCCATCCCTAACACTTATTCTTAAAATGAACACCATCCTGTTTCAAAAGCAGCAGTTTCTGCTCCATTGGGAATAGCAAATATTACTTCCTCCCTCTCTTTGCCCTCAAATTATGTCTATCTAAGGGGATTAAGGAGAGGGGTATGCTTAAAAACGGCTTTGAGATACAACTTATATACCAGAAAATTTTTTCTTTCTTTCTTTTTGTTTTTTTTTTTTGAGACAGGGTCTCCTTGTAGCCCCAGCTGTCCTGGAACTCACTATGTAGACCAGGCTGGCCTCGAACTCACAAAGATCCACCTGCCTCTGCCTCCTAAGTGCTTGGATTAAAGACATGCAACACCATGCCCAGGAAATTTTATAAAAGAAATTTTCTTTCAAAATATAGGATCTCACTAAGTATCTCAGGTTGTCCGTGAACTTGTGGTAATCATCCTGCTTCTGCCTCCCAATTGTTGGGGTTATGGGTATGTGTACCATTCTGCCTGGCTCTTGCCTGTTTCAAATGTTAAAAGTCAGTGGTTTTGAATAACTCTAGAGTTGTGTAATCATCTTCAGGATCTAATTTGAGAACACCCTCATCATTCCTAGAGAGATCGTGGTGCTCGTCAGGAGTTTCTCTCTATTCCATACTTCCCTCAGCTTCTGGCAAGCACTCATCTACTTTGTGTCTCCATGGAGTCACCCATTGTAGAAATTCAATACCAAATGGATTCTTACAACCTTTGGGCTCTAAGGTTTGGCTTTTTCCACTTATTGTGTCTTTGATTTTCATCTATGTCATAGCATGCAATGGTATTTCATTGCTTTTTCTTGTTGAACAGGAGTCCATTGTGTAGATGCATCATAGCTAGTGGGTGAATTTTTAACCAAGATTTCATTCCTCACCACCACAATCTTGAAAGGATCTATTATTAGAGAGGATACTTATCCATTCTTGCTCACCTTTTCTAACTGGCCCTGTTCAGGCACACACAGAACCAGCACCTAGGGGTCAAGGTTGTAGTTCACTTGGTGGAGTGCTTGCCTAGAGTGATTTCCAGAACCACATAAACTGAGTGTGATGGTACACACCTGTAATTCCAGCACAAGGTTATCCTTGAATGTTCAAATATCAGCCTGGGATACTTGAGAACTTGATTCCCCCCCCCCCGAAAAAAAGATCATCTAACCATCTAACAGCAGCCCTATCGACCCAATGGAATGAAGGAATGCATGACCCAAGACACAGAACTAAATTAACTTTATATCACCATGTAGGTCTTAAAGGAAAGAGAAACCATTTTTATTCAATTACTTATGGGTTGTATGGCTCTGCCATTCAGGTCTGCTCTTTCTAGCATCACTCATTACATTGAAATTTCTTTTTTTGTTGTATGTATGTGTGGTGTATGTATGTGTATGTGGTTGTGTGTGTGTGTATGTGTATGTGTGCGCATATGGAGACTAAAAATCGACACTTCATGTCTTCCTCTATTGCTCCCCACCTCCCTTCTTATGAGATAGGATCTCACTATGTAGCCCTGGATGGCCTGGAACGTGGTATGTAGACCAGGCTGGCTCAGTTTGACAGAAATCTGCCTACCTCTGTCTCCCGATTGCTGGGCTTAAAGACATGTGTCACTATGTCCAGCTTTTGTTTTGTTTTTTGCTTTTGGGACAGTCTCCCCTTTATTTTTTGAGACAGTCACTCTCACTGAACCCAGAGCTCATCGACTGGTTAAACTGACTGGCTAGTGAGCCAGCCCTACTCATCCTGGGATTAGAGGTGCACATTTCCATCTGTTTTTACATGAGTATGGAGAATCTGAACTCCAGCGTTTAGATTTGTGTAACAAGCAATTTCCCCCCTGAGCCATCTCCCTAGCCCCTACCTTTGCCATTTCTGATTGATTCCTATATATGTATACATCTCTTTAGGAGAAATGGCATTATGGCTTGAAACACAGTAATAGCAATACTTTAAGCTCATCGTTGAGTTTGTCTAACTCACTATCAGTCCTTTATACCTTTTACAAGGTTTGAGCTCTCATTCTACATTGAGCTATCTGAGTTAAACATTGGGACACATGCAGACATTGAGAATAGGGAATGGGGAAGTTCGTATTGCTCAGCATCCTCCCCATCCTGGGTCCTCAAATTAATTCACATATTTCACTCAGACTTAGCTCCTTAATGGTCATAGAGATGAATGTCCTCCATAAACAATGAAAATGGAAAGTGGACTCAAGTCACCTACCTGGTAGGGAGTCCAATACACAGCTATCCAATCCTAATTTCACAGACTTTGATTTTTTTCTTTCTCAAAAGTATGGAGTGATAGTAAAGGAGGGGGTACAAATTGGCATGATTGGACAGACATGTAGGAATGCTCAAGACTTTCAGAGCTGAGGCTCCTTGAAAGCGCTGGCCCAGTTCTGGGTACCATGGTGGATATGTAGAGACCCTGTGCCCCATTACTGGCTCAGATATTGAAATTTGGTGGTTAGCCCAAGGGCATATCTCACTGTACACTGTTCCCTTTGATATGAAGAAGTGGACTGAGGAAAGAGAGGGACGGTGGAGAAAGATAGGGTGGAATGGAAAGGGAGAGAGAAAACGAAAGATGATTAAAAATTTCTGAAAGGGCCATTTCCACCCATACCCATGTCAACAAATGAATGTATCAAGCAAAACATAAACTATCACCAAACCACAAGAGCCATTATGAATTACAGTCAAGTTAACATTTGAGTTGCTATTGGAATTCACCCCGAGGCTGTATTTACCTGGACTGCTCAAGGGGCCAGCCCTGTCCCCCAGGGTTGGCACAGGACGGTACTGATGGTTCTTTGAGCCTGGGTACATCCAGTGGTACCTGCCAATTTCCATTTCAGCTCTGCTGTTCACTGCCAATTTCAGTGGCAAAGAGTCAGTTTCTATCTCCAGCAAAGATTCTATATCAGCATTTTTATTTATTTATTTATTTTACCACATAGTAAAGGAAAATGGGGAGTTAAAAATATGATATTGAAATGCAACCCTTCGGTACCAATTTATCAACTCAACATGATAAATTTCAGAACTTGTTGGACTTTTGTCCTCCATTTTTGAATGTAAGTTTACACAAATCACCAAAATTTTTCTTTGTTGCTATTTTCTCTCTCCCCCTCCCCTAAAATGTTCATTCAGGGATGATACTATTTACAGTTGAACTGTGGCATCTCATCATGTCTTTCTTTCTGTTTATTTCCTTCTCAGATCAACAGAGCACTGTAATGATTAGCACCCGCACAAGCAAAGGTGAACACTCCCCATCACAGTCCCCAGTTCCCATTCTAGAATTCTGCCATGACACTGTGACCTGTCAATTCCACTGTCCTTCCAGTGATACCTACAGTATTCTCTTTCACTTTATCTTCAACTCAAGACATCACAGAGTCCAGAATGTTGTGGATAAAATCCTATCTCAGTGATCTTTCAGTGTGTCATAGAGAAGGAACTGCTCACTCACTCAAATGGTGACAAATGGCCTCCCAGGGATTCATGTCTTTATCTGGTAATATATTTCCCACTACATTGGAGCAAAATAGAATAAAACAAAAAAGCAAAACCACCCACTTACTGCTTTGTCTGACATGGAGTGTTAACTGAATTTTAATATTGATGTCCTCAAGAAACCATAATGTCACTATGGCAGCTCATGTTTATAAATTCTAGAAATCACACTAAGTGGTTATGTCCTCTGAGGTATGACTAAAACTTAAGTACTAAAAAACTACCTCCGGCATTGATGTGGGTAATGATTCCACCAGCTATGGTTCTAATATTTTATGTGGCACTTCAACTCATTGAAGATCAGATAAATAACCACATAATGAAGCTAGCAAGCAAAATGCCGACCCTGACCAGGTACACGGCAACCTCACCAAACCTGTGAAAAAATCCAGTGGCACTTGCCATGGTCTCTGAAAATGCTTAAGAGATTTGAGACCGAGAAGAAAAGACATACTTTGGTGAGTGTTATTTTAGAGTAAACAGTTTTGGCTTCAAGGTAAGATAAATATGTCTTATTTAAAATGAAAAATATGAGCTTGGGTAAGTAGCTCAATGGTAGAACACTAGCCTAGCACGTGCAAGGCCCTGAATTTCATCTCTAACACTGACAAAAAATAAGTAAATAATAATAATAAATAAATAGATAAAGAAAAATAAAGGTTCTTGAGGGAGAACAGAACTAACTGTACCACGAAGCTATTTTTGCTGCTTTTGTTTTGGTTGTTGATAGTGATGGGTGAAAGCTATAATTTATGGAGTGCTTATGATGTGCTAGCCATCATGTTAAGCACATGGTACCTGTTGTCGCACTTGTTACAACCACCCTAGGAAATTATTATTCAATTTTGACAGAGCTAAGGGAGAGATCACTTGCCCAGGGCACAGTACCAGGAGGTGGAGTCTAGGTATGCAGTTGGAAAGTCAACCTCCAGAGGGCGCACTTTTGAAACCCTAGCATCATTGCCTTGGGGCCTGGGCCAGTGCCTCCTGTTTCTCCCATCACAGTCAGCTGTTAATCCCAATCAGAGCTGCTCAGAGGGCTTTGTGGAAATGAACAGTGCTTCTGTGTCTCCTAAAGGAATGGCACTGGTCCTCTGCTACTACTGCTGTTAATTAAAGATCTTAACCCTCTTCCCTAGATTATTTGTCCTCCTGTTCTCAGAGCCGAGGAGACTGCTCAGCATGAAAGCAGTTGCCTAGCACAGGATGTGATCCTTCAGACCACCAAAAACAAACCAAAACAAAACAAAAATCCATTTTAAAAAGAAGTTCTCTCAGACAAAGGTTATGCTACAGTCTGTGAAGCAAAGAAACCCAGCCTGGCTGGTGGAAGGAACCAGAAGTTCAAGTTACCTCATATACCCTGATTTCCTCTTGAAGTTGCTGTGAGCCCTTCATACTGATGCCCAAGCAAAAAGATTCCAATCACCTCAATCGCCTCTGATGTGAAAATTTTCTTTTTTCTTTTCTTTCCCTTTTTAATATGGGGTGGGCACTGGATTTTGAACCCAGGACCTCATACGTGCTAGGCAAGTGCTCTACCATTGATACACACTCAGAATCCTCATGTCATTCAAATAATTTTATCTCTACATGCCCAGCGCACAATAAGTACCTAATAAATGTTTGTTGGATGAATATTTGGATGAAAGCAAAGCACCCCCGTCATGCTGACTTCTGCAGTAAAGAAAGCCTGACTGGAGAGCACTATCACATGCACTTGTGCACATTCTATCTATGACTGCAATCCAGAGGGTTTATCCATGCCCTTTCCTCATCTCACATGGATGGGAGATACTTGAGCAATCAGTCAGTAGCCACTGGGCAAGGATAAGGGAAAAGCATGGATTGCCCAACACTGATGTTTTATCTGAGAAAAACATGGCAGCTAAGCCTGAGATACTTAATAGAATATGACTGTGTGGTGACTGCAGCAGATCCGAAGATGGGATCGGACAACTGGATGGACATGGACGTTTTTCAGTCCTTTGGACTAACACTTCTGTACAGTCCTTTTTACAACAGCACATGTTTAGATATGAGAGCAAAGAAAAAAATCACTTCTATGCTGTATTTTTAATCTGGACTTAAGCAAATATATTAAATAGAAAGCTATCTCTAAGGTTTATGAAATCAGAGTACAGATTTTAATCCCAAGGATCTGATCCCAACATCTAGAAGGTAGTCAAATACCTGCTGATTCTACACAGGAAGACTGCAATGTGTTTTCCTCTGAGCTCTTCAGAGGTGCAGTCGGCTGTTGTGGTCCATGGAGATACACACAACTGTGAGTGGACATTATCAAATGTGGGCATAACACAAATAATGGGACATCAAGGAAAGGAAAGCAAAACAATGCCTTGCTCCCTTTTCCACTCCCCATTTACTTTGATAATATGATCTAGGGACAAGGCTGAGTAAGTGACCTAGCTGGCTGGGCAGCATGTAAAAAAATCATCACCGGGAGCAACTATGTGGCAAACACGGCTGCATAGAAAGGCTGCATTTACTGGGCAAGCTCTTTCAAAGCTATGTTTATCATTGTTCATTTTTAGCCATTGGTTAAAACATTAAGGGAAAGCCTTAAGGATCCAACGGAGTACAGGACAGGGCTGTAGACTACGGCCACTAGATTTTGTAAATAAAGTCTGACTAGAACATTGTCACATGCCTTTGTGCTCATACTGTCTGTGGCTGCTTTCATGCTAGGATGGCAGATGTGAGCAGGCACAGCCAAGACCTATGGCCTGAGAATCTAAATTAGGCGTCACTTACCTGGCCATTTGTAGAAAATGTATGCTGAGCCCTGCCACTGAATAAAGCATTGTAGGCCTTGATATACAAAATGGTTAATGTCATGAATAAAACCAGCCCACAAAACAGGGCATTCTTTTATTTTCTCTCATCCATTCTTTGAAGAGCAAGCAAATGGAGCTGGCTAAGGATCAAAATTCTGTCACTGTTGTTGTTTACTTGATTTTGCCACCAATCCACAAAATATGGCTAAAACCAATATTAAACTACTCCTGATGGTGCCTAAATAGGTGAGCAGCCTTTTGCTCCTGCAGTGTGAGCTTAGAGGACAGAGGAAGGATGACATTCCAAAGGAGCACATTATTAAATGAATAACAAATGGTGAACCACAAAGCACAGTTGTAAAGCTGGGATTGGAGACTCCCTCTCTTAAAAAGACCAATGTGCGTCCCATTCTTCCTCCATCCCAGAGCCATCTCCAGATCAATTATCTCATGTGTATGTGTACATTTGGTGTAAAAAAGAAAAAGGCAAAGGAGTGACTTTGGACTAATACAATTCATCACCAGCCCCAGTGAGGGGGAGTTTACATCATGCAGACACTGGCCGTTTTGCAAGTTCTTGGATACAGCAAGACTAAGAAATGATTTCACTAAGACCATTTACCCTAAATTGACCTGTATTTCCAAGTAACAGAAAAACATAATCTTAAAACGCACAATCGTTATTCAGGTTGATGCTCAGTTTCAAGGAGGACAAATCTGAATCTCTAAGAAATGGGCCAAAATTCTGCTTTTCTAATGAAATAGCAAAGCCAAGTCAAGAGAAGTCTGTTCATGGAACTGATAATAGACAAGTGGCAGATACACCAAATGGCTCAGAGATCTCTTTCCACATTTAAATTTTCTTAAAAAATACATCAAAGGATGCCATATCATACCTACCACATATGTCTTGCACCATCTGGCCAGCCACTTTTCACTATAGCCTATTCCCCAGACACCATCTCTTCAGATGTCCATTTTGGCAAATTCTTACAGAGAAAAACTGCATCTAAAACTTTCTTTATATCATATTCATATAAACAAGTTAAAAATGTCCATAAAAATGTGATAATTCATAGATCCTTCATAATAGTGTAGTGTGTTAAATGTTCCACTTTGGATTTTTTAGCACATAAATCATATAGTCAAGAAAAGTGCTTTTCTCCCTAAATGAAACAAAAGAGAACAACAACAACAACAAAAATTGAGAGCCAGAGTGCACATTTTGCTAATTTAAAAAAGAAAAAAACTGTGCTGGAGAGATGGCTCAGCGGTTAAGAACACTGACTGTTCTTGCAGAAGACCTGGGTTTGAATCCCAGCACCCACATGACAGCTAACAACTGTCTATAACTCCGGTTCTAGGGGATCTGACAGCCTCTTCTGTCCTCCACGGGCATTGAATGACACGGGTGCACTTACCTACACGCAGGCAATACAGGCATACACATAAAAATAAAAATAATAAATAAAATATTTTTTAAAAAGAAAGAAACTATATCTATGTGATCAAAAAGATTCAAATGAATCTGTTAAAATAATAAATAAGTCACTGATTCAAATTTGTTTCTTCTTCTGACTCTATCCTCCAATTTATTTTAAACATTATTTCCAATTTATTTCATTTCTCTCTTCGTGTATGGCTAGAAACTTTATTTGCTTCTGGAATTGATTTTAGCAATGATTTGTAGGAAGTGACCTAGCCTGACTATTATTATTCTGGTAGATTCCAATTTCCTACCTGTAATAAAAATATTGTTCATCACCAACACTTTTTTTTTTTAACATAATAGAGCATCAGAGTTGTTAGGATCCCATTGTTTTTCTGCTCAGCGATGATGTGCTTCCAGCAATTCCAGAGGCGTCTGTTTTCACAAATGAAGTGACACCAAGCAATCCTCTACGGAAACAAGTGCAAAGCTGGCTCTTCATCTTTTTATTAGTGGATCCATGATCTACTTCCTCTAATTGCCTTATTCATTTGCTCCACTTACTCCATCTCCGCTGAATCTGTTTACTCAATTCTCCCACTTTAATTCAATGCTCTTCATTTGAAAAGCCCTCACTTGTAATGATTTGGCATTTGCTATATTTATCTGAGAAAAACCTGCTTGCTTTCCAAAAATAAATAAATTAAAAATCCCTGAATATTCCTGAACACTTGGTGTGGAATTACAGTTGCCCAGCAGCATTCTCTGCTAAAAGCTATGAGAGTATTGTAAAAACACAAACACTTTTCCTTTGTAAAGACTTGGATTATTTTTGTCTAAAATTAAGAACAAAGCCATTCTGACTGAGTTTCTAAAGAAACAGATCTCTCAGTGGGAGTTAGTGAATCGCAATAGCTCAGATGTGTTGCCCTGCCTAAACTCCCTATGGGAAAGGACACCAATCCAAAAAGCTGAGGTCGATTTATAAATCTAAGTTGAATTTACATTCTTAATAGACACAGTAATAATTATCCAAATCTATTCATTTGCAAGATATTGGGTACTAGCCATTGGGCAACAATACGTCTAATTAACAGACAGGCATTGCCACTGTCACCAAGAATTGAAAGCCAGTGGGAAAGAATGAACAGAAGAAATCACATTGTATATAAAAAACTCTGTGTGAAGTGGAAAAAAATGTATAGGATCACATTTGGGGATTAAGAACTCTTGCTTAAGGCTAAAAAGAAGAAAGGAAAAAAAAAAAAAAAAAAAAAAAGAACAAGCCCCCAAATTTTAAAATTTATTTTGTAAGTAGCGATGTAAAAATTTAAATGTTCATATCAATGAAATAAGCATTGGTTTCATACACATAATGCTAAATCTGAAGGAATACTAGGGTGATAAGCATCCAAACCCCTTCGTACCTACTATTTTATCACGATAGGCAAGTGGACTGTAGCACTACAAAGATTCATGTGGGAGTTCTGACTTTGCACAGCTGGCATATGAACTTGTTCATCCAAATCAAGAACAAAATAATGATCACAATTCTACTTGCTGCAGATGAGGAAGAATACATTTTTATCTAAGCATGTATTATACATGTGATGCCATCTTTTGGTAGCTTGGCATTTTAAAATTATTTAACAACTAGTGTTCATGAATTTTGGTCATTTTTAAAGTTCCTCCAAAAAGTATTTTTTTTTTCCTTCTAATTCTGCCTCTAAAACTACAGCTAGCAAGTTTTCACATACAGGTTGCTGGGGATGTCGTAGCAACTTGCAGACCTTGTCACTAAATATTTAACTGATGTAGAATAACGGCAGTCCATGAGACTAAACGGTCTGAGCTGTGAAATTCTGTTGTGAAGATTTTATATCAATTTTATGTCTTTGTTTTTTAGGGAAAAACAAAAGCTATGTTTTTGTAGAGAGTAAAAGGTCTTGCAGAGCCAAAATGGTTTTATCTGCCATGGATAAACATTATATTAATAAAAAAGCATGCTTAAAGCAAAATAAAACTTTAGGGAAAATTGCTATAAATTGTGACAAGTTTTCTCATGGGATAAAGCTTGTAATGTTATTACACAGGCAATCAAATTAGTATCTAATCATCATGGAAATGAATCTCTAAACTTTCATCTCACTTCCTCAGCTTGATGAATATTCCCAAGAGCATCTCTTATTGCTGTTTGGCCATGTGCATAGATTAGAAAAATGAAAAAAGAAAGGATACATAGAAGAAAACACAGGCTGTTTTCTTTTCCCCTTAGGGGTGAGGTAGGCTTGATAGAAGGATTGATCTAAAATGTCAACTTTGAAATTAAATTGCTATGTACTTATTGCCCCATTGCCTCTAAATTGTATATTTAAAAATGGTTAAAATGGCAAATTTGCATGTTTTATCATGAGTCTAAAAATGTTTTTTAAAAATTTTGTCTGTTTAAGATGAAATGCTAATGAATGCAGGAGAAATTTTCTATAAAAACAAGCAGCCTTTCCCCAGTATGCTATGAAGTTGGACTACATATAGACACTGGTTTTGTATGTTGCTAATGGTTGGCTAGCAGCGATTTCATATGGCTCAAGCTATATATTCAAAAAGAAGACATGACTGAAGAATTAGACTGTCATTGGATGTAAAAGCTGTAAGAAAGAACCTTAGCATGACGGCTTTCTATAGTAGCACCAGTGCAGTTATAAAACATGTTTTTGTGCATTTTATGACAGTTTCTATCTTGGAGTGAAAAGATCAATTACAGTGCAGTGAGATGTTGTTAACCTAACTGGCCGAAGTGGTTCCACAGGACATCAAACTTGATATTAGGCATAGATAGCTTCACTTTCTGATATTTTCTTACCCACCAAAACACTGATTTTTCAAAAGATCTAGTCTTTATATCAAAACTGTGACATAGTCTAAGATTTGCTTTAGCATGGGGCCCATGGTCAATTTTCCTTTTCCAAATCTTTAAGTTATAATTAGCAGAAGACCACCCTGTTCCATCAATGTTAGGGGACAAAGCTGACGTCTCCTCTCTCAAGCTCTTACTACCAATGATTATTACATGTCATAGTCTGACACACAGAAAGAGCAGTCATGTTAAAATAAGAAAATTACAGTATGTTCAAATCACTCCAATATTATTAGAATCAATGCATATTTGGCATGCATGCCCCTCCAGCCCCTCTTCAACATTAGCACAGAATAGCACATCCCGTGTCCCTGTAATATAGCATGCACAACATAGGACTTTAGTTATGATTAATTATCTTAGTTAAAAAAAAAGAAAGATAGTCTTTCCAATTCAGCTGCCCAAGGTGACAAACTACGGACATCCTTCGATGAGATGCCATATTCAGTAGAACGACTTGCAACAGGAATGGATAGAACAGAGGCTGCACTATTAATTTAACATTAGCCCCCAAGAAAAAGGAAAAAAAACCCACCCTAAACAAGACCATGCTATCAGGATTGTTTCAGAGCCATTTAAAAAGAGGCAAACCCTTCTAACCCTTTTCAGTGAAAAGCTTTAAACAGGCTATTGTCAGAGCGCCGGGTACCTTTTCTCTCTTGGCTTTGTTCAGTATTTTCCTCGGCTGCAGTTTCCATGGCTGGCTTCATACCATCCACCAAAAATGCTTTTCCCTGCTTCCCCCCCAAACACACACTTTTTCCCCCTCCTCTTTCTTTTCTTTTGGACTCCCCTCCGTTTCTTATTTACACCCGCCTGATTGAGAGGCTCTGTTCTTCACTACAGCAGATTACAGTCCCTTACAAGACGCAATCCCTACTGGTCCATAAAGACAGCTGCCAAGGAGCAGGCAGACATACGTCACTAAGGATCCCAGTTATAAAACAGCTATTCTGTGCTCCCCACGCCCAGTGCACCCCAGGAAAGGTCCTGCTCCCCCACAATCTCTTCCTCCTTAAGATCACTCTCTCCCTCTCTCTCTGTCTCTCTCTCTCCTCTCTCCCCCTCCCTGCCTCTTTCTCCTCCCTTCTTTCTTCTTGCCAAACGCACCCAATGAATAGTAATTAATTCTCCCAGGAAAGAATAGGCTTGTGACATCAGAGGAAGGGATGTGGAGGAGAAAGAAAAGCGTCCCCTCCCACCACGTGACTTTATCTGGCCACACTATATGTTGCCTCTCAGGAGAATGCCTGCCTGCTTTCCCATACCGCCCCTTTCTGGGGCATCGGTTTTGTTTATTCTATTTATTCCTGAACTCCAGCAAAGCATCTTCAAAGGACATGCCTATAATCTTTTACTCTCTCTCTCTCTCTCTGTCTCTCTCTCTAAAATAAACACCTCTTTCACAAATCTGTAAACAGATTGTTTAAAAAAACACTCAAGACAGAAGAAAGAAACTACACAAGAAGGAAGAGTTTCCAAGCACAGATTTAATGATAGGAGCATGGCAATTCGGTATTGGAATCCACACCTTGTATGTATTAATATATGTGCTAGTAAGAGAAATTTTAGTTCAAGCCTAATTTGTAAAAAGGGGCCCATGCTTAATCAATAATCAGCACATTGCCAAGTGTAAGAGTTCATATTTTGTGGTTTTTTAAAAGATGAAAATCAAAACGTTTCTTTTTTCAGTAGGGTATGATTACATCTACACGCCATTTTATTCATTAGAACCCCTCACTCAAAATCTCAAGAAGGCATTTTGAAGAGCATTCTAAACATGCAGCCTCAAGCCTATAGTAACAATAGTTTTTCTGGTTTCACGAGCCATTCTGCATAAGCAAATACTATGAGATTGATGCTCTTTTTTTTTGTGGAGTTGGTGTGTTCAAAGAGCCACTGCTGGGTGAGGGAGGATGGGTTGCAGGTGTTCATGAAGATCCTGTGGTCACTCTGGCTACAGTCCATGCAGCTATCAGTCACAGGGTGGTACAGGGTCTTGTCCTACAAGACGGAGCAGGGAGTCAGGCAGGCAGCACCAGGGATAACAAGACACCAGTCATGGTAGGCAACGAGGAGGCATGGCAGCCGCTTGGGACTCATGTCCCGCCGGCCCTGCTCCCTGCATGCAATCAGATGCGGCCCAGCATCCTCTGCCTTGTCATGGGCCCAACGTCACTTCCGGGCCAAGGCCCTCAGCACTGCCTGCTCCAATCAATGCCACTGGTTCCCTGTGAAGTGGCGTGGACCTCTCTCTCTCTCCGTTTTTTTTGATCTCCCTGTAGCCCTGGCTGGCCTGGAACTCGCTATATAGACCAGGCTGGCCTCGATCTCACAGAGATCTGCCTGCCTCTGCCTGCCTCTCTGCCTCTCAAAGATTGATGCTCTTAACCCATCATCAGCACCTAAGCCTTTATCGTGATTATGAGCCTTACTTTTCAAGTGTCGCCAATTTCTGCATTTTTAAAATGCATTTGGCCCACTTACCTCCATTATCCCTATTAGAAAAAAAATCTAGAAACTGATGTCACATACAAAGATGACCATTGATAACCACAAGATAAAGGATTCCTGGACCTACAATAGTCTGCTTGATACGTACCTTGGAAGAAAATACTAAAGACAAGTTGGAGGGCTGGTGAGATGGTATATTGGGCGAAGGCACCTGCTACCAAGCCTGACCACCTGAGCTCTATCTCCTGGACCAATATGATAGAGGAGAGAACTGATTTCTGCAAGTTATCCTCTGACCTCCACATGTGGACACTTGTTTGTACACACACACACACACACACACACACACACACACACACACACACACACACACACACACACCAGTGTAATTACAATAACATGTGGACACTTGTTTGTACACACACACACACACACACACACACACACACGCACACACCAGTGTAATTACAATTAAAAAATAAGACAAGTTGGAGACTACCTCTCCTCAAAACACTCTCCAAGTTTTATAGGGTTGTTGATCAATAGCTCAAAACAATGCGCAGAATCCTGAATCAAAATCCTGTGACAGCTTGATCTTTTAATACTTTGATTTTAGATAATCTCCAAAACCTTTTTATACCCAATACCTCTGGTGTGTTAAAGGAGAAAAGGTTGTGAAACCAGTTTGGCCTGTTTCAACACTTTCTTTTAGCTTTCCATCTCACTTTCCACCTTAATTATTGTCTCAGAAGACAATGCCAACTATCAATTATTTCCCCAAATTATGGCCTCTGTCAATTTTATTGTCTCCCCATGAAGAGATTGGAAAGTTTGCAGCCTAAAACTGCAACCTTTAGGCAAAAGATTCTTTTGTGACATGACTACCTCCATGGGAAAATCTACAGTGTGGTCTAATGGGGTAATTTCGAACATGCTGTATAAAGAAAACTTAGGTCCATTCAGAAAGAATGGTACAAAATGATGCATATAAATGTTTTAGTTGTGGTTTGGTCAGGTGGCTCAGCACTTGCTGCTAAGCCTGACCACCTAGGTTGGGTCTCTGGGATCCACAGAGCGGAAGGAAAGAACCAATTTTACAGTTATTTTCTGACCTTCACATACACATATCATGGCACATATGTGCACACACAGTGAAATAAATGTAAAATAAATAAATGCAATAATAAAAACTAAAAGAACACAGTTGTGATCAGCTACGCTAATGTGTTTTTACAAACTGTTTACCAAAGTCATTAGATTCTAGAACTGACAGAGTAGCCTAATTTCTTTGGTTCTTCCTTTAGATATTTAATTCATTTATTTATATGAGACATGGTCTGACTATGTTGAGGCACCCCACTACTGGATCTAGTTAGAAATACTATTTTAATATTAATGCAAGTGGAAAGGTAAAATATGGAAGACAATCTAAATTTAAAGACAGCTGTTAGTACTCATACTGACAGACAAAATCATTGGACAAAATATTCACAAACCCTCCAATTGATACCTTCTTCCAGTTTCACGCTCAAAAACTACAGGCAAATGAACATCTCATTACTTTTCCTTACTCACACCTTCAGGTTCAATAGAACCATGATGTATGACACATCTAGAAATTGCCATTGTGTCAGTTCATAAGCAGCCTCAAATTCTCCCTGATGTTTATGATAAAGAATATGATTCACAAGAGAAGTGATAAAAAAACTGTCAAGAAGCAATAAGAAAGAATATATGCTTATAATATGTTTGAGAAATGCATCCATGTTTTTTTGGTCAGAAAGGCTGAATATATAGAATGAACAGGATGGAAAATGGCTTCCTCAGCTGAAAATATGTCTTTGAGCCTCATGCTATAAAATAGGAAGAATGCTTCTGAAAGCCAACACAGGAATAAGAAATGTTGACAGAAAATGAATGCATTAGATTGAACCTTATGAAAAATTGCTGAAATTGCTTAAAAAGAAGTACAGTTTCACAGAGCCTATTACCTATTCCCGCAAGTCCTCTGTGGACTCACAGCTCAGTAAACATGCACATCCTTGGAAGATTGCTCCTACTGCTGATGTCTACAAGAAGTATGGCCATGAAGAAGCCACAGTGCCTTTTCCAGGTGGCCCACAGGCTAATACATCAAAGGGGACTTGCTTAACCAGGGTACTCCTTCCTGTTACTGGTATCACACGACAGAGGAGGATTCCTTAAGGTATATACTGCATTCCAGAAATTGAGTTACTATTTTCTGCTACGTAACAGTAGTTGTTCAACCATCTGAAAGTTTGAGTTGATTTACCTGTATATGATTATCATAACCACATGGTTCTCAAATGATTTTGCCAACATCCTCCTCTTCCAACTTTCTGGAATTACATTTTAGATTACTTTGGATCTCAAAGTGACTCGAGTCAAGAAGAGATGCTTTCAAATTCCTTCCAACTACTAATTCCTACACAGTTTTCAGGGCTTATAGAACATTTATATGACATGAAATATACTCTAGCATAATGCTTTCTCATTGTCTTTGAAAGGAAAGTTTTCATAAATGTAAGAAACACAAACTAGAAATAGAACAAGAAATTTAGAATATGCTTGTCAAGAATTGGGTCTTTCCCATAACTAGACTTTTTTGAAATGTTAGGAATTTTGCAAAGCCTTTGTCCCCCATTATAAGAATTAAATTTCTATTTTTTTAGTCAGGTATGATGGCTAAGGCCTATAGTCTCAACATTAAGAATTCTGAGGTGGGAGGACTGCAGAGAGCTTGAGGTCAACATGGGCCACTTAGTAAGTTCTAAGCCAACCTCAGCTACAATGTGAAACTCCGTCTCCCCCCCCAAAAATTAAGAAAGAGGTCTGCTAGGATGGTTTAATGAGTAAGAGCACTTGCTGCCAATCCTGACAACCTCATTTGATCTCTAGGCCCCACATAGTGGGAAGATAGAACCTATTCCCCCAAGTTGTCGTCTGAGCTACACATGTGTGTTGTGGCACACATGAGCTTATGCACATGCATATAAACTGTCATTTAGTAATAAATAAACAAATTGAATTGAATTTCTAATTTTTTATGCAACGTGAGTTTTTGGAAAATACCTTTGGATTTATGACATATTATTTTCCCTTTCCAATATCTTTCCTCCATACTTCCTTCATATTACAGGAAATGACACCCCATGAAGAGCTGAAAGAACAGACCAACCAGGTGATCTCTGTGAATACTCTTAAAAATTGCGAAGCTTTGTTTGAGGATGTAGCTCAGTGGTAGAGTGCTTGTCTAGCATATACAATTCCCTTGGTTCAATTCCCAATAACACACACACACACACACACACACACACACACACACACACACACACACACACACACACACACACACACACTCACACAAATAAATGGCAAAACTCCACATGGATGACCTGTCCTCCTCATCAGCTGTTTACTTAATGACAGGCAGTATCCTCATTAGAAGATCGAGGAGCTCCCAAACAGCAACTGTTGAGTTTGGCAAGCATCAACTTGAGGTGTACTGAGCCTCTCTCTCCTGACAAAAAAAAAAAAAATCCACAGAACTAATGTTCAAACAGATAAGAAGAGAATAAGTTTGGTAGGGGCAGCCTGGGACTTGGCATGATGGCAACAGGTTCTGCATGGGAAGTTTGCACATTCCTGGCCTAGG